TCTTTATATTTATTTCGTTTTGGTATTAATATTGACGAAGAATTGTATTCAAAGAGAATCTCATCGTATTTATTATAGAAATGTTTTTCAATCAAATTTTTACTTTCAAATACTTTTGTGTCATTCATTTGATTTAAATAACAATTTGATGAAAAGCCCGTGTATTGAATGTATAGTAATAGTTGTGATCCCATTTCCTTTTGTCGGGTATTCGAACCCTCATCCCAGGCCCGGGTCTGGTCTATCATTTGACTGAATAAAGTTACAAAATTTTTGCCAATTGTTGATTCAATCTTTAAATTACTTGTCTGTAAAAAGTCATTCATTTTTACAATAATTGTCATAACATTATTTAAACCGTCCATCGATTGCAGGCCATTTGTACCGACAGTTTTCTCAACAATAGTGTCTAGAGATTGGTTTACGTCTTCAACAGAAGTAATATTTTTATTGATCAAGTCTTCTAACCAACAGTTCTCCTCCATTGGTCCCAAACCATCAAATGTTCCGTTTTCTAAACACCTCCATCTAATCATTCCCTCCCCTTCTTCACACTTAACCTCCGAGTATTCTCCGGCCCTAACGACTGGCCATTTGGCGATCCCGTGCTGTCCATCGTATTGGCCGTCGCTATTACACCAAATCACTGTTTGATTCAAATTATTAGTAATTTATAAAAATTGTTCAAAAGGCAAACCCGAATAATAATCCCAAACACTTGTCTCTTGTTTCTCACAATTACTACCAATTATTTGCCTTTTATTAACTTCTTTAAGCCATTTATATGTAGAACTTAGTTGTGGTGAACATATCAATGTATTGTTTGATAAATTCAATTTATTTTTATCGTTGTTTTTGAAGAAATTTTCAAACATGCTTTGATTGATGTAATTAAACATATTATAAGCTAAAAAATTGAAAAAACATTTTGAATTTTAAAGGTATTTATTTTTGTGGATATTTTTACCTAAATTTAATGATATAATTCTTGTGGTTATATCAAAAACTCCATTCTTTATCACATTTTCATTCAATTGAGTCGATTCTAAGTTAATGTTTAATTCATTGCAATTTTCATCCAATTGCTGGCAATTTTGTACTTTAAAAGCATTTTCAGCGATATTTTTAATTGTAATGCTTTTGAAACTTATTTCTTCGATATTTAGTACATTATTAAAAACATTATTTCCAATTTGATTGATAACAAACTGACCGTTAAATGTAATCTGTTTGAGACTATTATCATTACTATAAAAAGCATTGTCTGGGATATCATGGCTTAATTCTGAGTCCAAATTAATAAATAGTTTTTCGAGTTTATTAATGGATGAAAAAGCATTATACAAATCATAGTCAGTGTTCGGATAGTTTTTTCATTTGTTTAGAAAATTATAGCAAAAATTCCATTCATTTGCTTCAAAATGTGGTAAAAATGCTTTTGAGTGAACTTTTAGTAAATTATTTGATACAAAGTATACTTCTTTAAAAGTAAAACCTTTAAACACATTCTCAGGTATAATAGAGTCAACAATGGGTGCAATCCATACAAACGAATTCAAGTGCTTTTCATTCAATGTTTTCTCCAATTCTATGAACTCTTCTCTGATATCCAGACTCTCGTCGTTTGGCGAATAACAACCCAATGAATTGGTTGTCGTTTCATAATGACATCCCTTTTGATCATCAAATATACCATGCTCAATCTGAGTTTTTATACAATCACAGTCACAATAACTCACATTTTCAACAATTTTAATCACACATCCAATTATAACCAGTTTTATGACAAAATTCATAATTGTTTTAAGGTTTTTGCTATTATTTACAAGTATGTAATTTGAAATATTAATTAATGTTTATATTTAATTGAATTAAATATTATTTTGAATTCGCAACTGAAATAAAACATGATTGCCAGGGATTTCTTTATTTAATATACGCTAAAATATTTATGAGTTTTCTAGTATGTGATAAAGTATAGTAAATTGCTATTCTGTCAGCAATTTCTTTACAACCATTAAGTTAATTTTTATATCACTTTATTTTAATCTATAATTTATTGTTAGTTTAATTGTTATTTTAATAATTAATAAAATTTTACTAAATTAGTTTACCAAGTTTAGCATTTTTATGCTTTTAAGTAATTAAAATTCATGATATACGTAGACCTTGAACAATAAAATTGATAATTTTGAATATTTTACAAAACAAGTCACTCAAATAAATAAAAATTTTATTAAATAACTTTTATTTTCATTAAACATACCTGTATATGTAATTAATACCATAAATAAAGTAAATAAAGTAATTAATATTGTTTTATACTTTTGATAATATAGTTTTTATTGACATTAATACAACATTTAATGATAGATGTATTTTTGAAAATACTTTTGTTTTGATAAAAAAATTATTTTTCCAATATTTAACATAATATCATAAGATATTATTTTCAATTTGATTGCCAGTAAACTAACAGTTAAAATTTTTACATATTTTAAACAGTAAATTTTAAAAGTAAAATTTCAAATAATTTAATATACAAAATAAAACACTAAAAACAAGTGCTTCAATATAACTGTAATACAAATTATCTAATCAATTACAGTATAAGTTAGTATAGTCTTTTATAAATAGTATATTTTAATTTCATTGCTTTCATATACAGTAACAATTATTGTTAACTTTTTACACCTTATATGCAATGTTTGTATTTGTATTAACACAAAATTATATAACATTAAAATAGATGTTTGCATAAGCCTTGCATTTGATGAACGTGTGATAAAACAAACTCAATTCAAGCGAATGGCCATTTGATAGATCATAATAAAAACTCCCTGAATAACAGTTTAAATATTTGATTAGAAATATTAGATTAAACATCTGTTAAACACATACTTGGGATCCATTCATAACAATGAAAACATAGGATAATATGTGCGGAAAAGGACTCAAACGATGCATATATGATAAGAATAGAGACCACGAAAGACCGGAATTTAATACCAATAATAGGAATCCAAACACTTGTCTCCTATTGACGGATGACTTTAATTTGATTACTTCGTGAATGAGATATGCGATGAAAATAATATTCATTGCCATTACTATCACTGCAGGACCTGTTGTGTAGAATATAATTATTGTTCATTGAATTGATTACACAAAATATGCTTTAAATACCAATAAAAATCCATATATTGTTGGGGTTTTTTGGTGATGATATCCAACAACTGTTTTGTAAATTTAAAAATAATTTATTCATCACTTAATAAAGTAAATAAATTTGCAAAAATAAACTCACAAATAATCGGAGCCGACGAGTGTTTCTGAAAAATTGGTGCCAGAATTGGGCCAAACGCTCAATAAGCCAATGAAAATGATGGGCACCGGGAGTCCATAGCCAAGTAAGACAAATATTTTGTCTTTGAATGCAATCATAAACACATTATAAGTCATACGAAACAAATGAAATGCCTGTAAAAGCATCCAAAGGAATGTCGACAGCAATGAATATAACAAGAAAAATGATATCGATTTACAGACGAACTGAAAGTTAACGGAAAAATTAAATTAAATTATTTGTGAAAATCAAAGCAAATATAGTATACAGTAATTTCTGTTCTGTCCATTCCAACCATGATCAGTAAATTTGTTAACAATAGCGAAATACACAGATTTAATACAATGAGATCCCTTTTCCTAAGCAATTGATTTGTCATTTCATTAAAACAGTTATTTTTAATTTTGTTGTTGATGTTGAAGGCGTGAATCAAAAAGACCAAAGTGTGTTGTTTTGTAATCATACAGATTGTGATTATGAGACAAAGACTGGAAACACCGCAACATATTTGCGTTAAGATATTCTTCGCCTCGTCGTCGGTCTCTCTGCCACTCGTGTCCATAAGTGCCGCAAAGTTTGTCAAATGATTGCATTCACAGACAGTTGTCTCGCGGTTAGAGTCTCTCTCAATGAGACGACAGCCCTCTGAAGACCACTTATTTAGTGTGAAATCCCAGAAAACACACTCAACTCTATCGCCCAAAACCAATCGATTCTTGTGTTTTAGCCTAATGTGAAATATAATTCTATAAATAGGGTAACAATTAATTGTATCAACGTTGATAAACTATGATATTACTGAATGTATGTCAATTACCTGACTCTAGCATAAGATCCGTTATTCAATTTCTGAGTATTAATTGTATTTTTAAGACTAAAGGCAATGATATCGCTATTGACTTGAGTTTCAAACGAATCGACTCTCAAATATTGTTGCAATTCATTGATCAAAACACCTAAAGAAGTGTGTTTTAAACACGACTGCATCTCTTCGTTGTTTACTTCACTTTCGCTTACATTTGATATGAAAATAGAAGAAGAATTGTATTCAAAGTGAACTTCTTTTGTAAAATTAAAATAATGTTTTTGGACTAAATTTTTACTCCACAATAATTTTGTGTCATTTGTTGAATTCAAATAGCAATTGGTTGTGAAACCAGTTAACTGTACTGAAAGTAAGAGATCGGATGCCGTATTGAGTCTTTGACTAGCGTTGCCATCAGCCCAGGCCAGCGACTGGTCTATCATTTGACTAAACAATTGAATAAAATTTTCCGATATATTCAACGCCATCGACGGCTTGTTAAAAGAGTCGTTGTTTTGTAAATATATATTCAAATTGTCGACTATTTTCATCACTTTCTCCAAACTCTTCATTGACTTCAACTCATTATTATCGACAGTATTTTTGACAATAGTTTCCACTGAATCCATGACATCCTCCACAGAACTAATGTCTTTACCGTCTAAGTCCTCTAACCAGCAGTACTCGTCCTCCGGTCCCCTGTCGTCAAACTTTCCGTCCTCTAAACACTTCCATCTCATAGTCCCTCTCCCTGTGGGACAGTCGACAATCGAGTCCTCGCCTGAAGAGACCGGTGGCCACACTTTCACCCCGTATTTGTCATTATATGAGCCGTCTTTATTGCACATCACATCCGAAGTTATCGTAGTTTGTGTTACCGTTGAGGTCGACACTAGAATTGCATAATACAAAGTAAATGATAAAATTCATAACATTATATGATTGAAACTGGAATATAAAGTACGGGTAGATTGAGATGCTGTGGATGAGTCCATCGGATCCCTGGGATCCGATGAAATTGCTGTAGTCGTAGATAATGTACTAATTATTGTAGTGGTTGTGGGTATGGTTGTGGTGATTAAGATTGTTGGAGTTGGATCATAATTAGTGGTAGTTGTTGTAGTCGTAGGCCCTATCGTTTAAATGTAATTCATTTACTTATTTACCGGTACTTTATATTTGGTTTTGCTAATTATGAATACCTGGAGTTGTAGTAATAGTGGTGGTAGTGATGTGCGGCTCCCATTCAAACTCCCAAATGGTCATTCCATTTGGACAAACAGTATATAAAACTCTCGATTCATATTTAGACCTGTTTTTGATAAGCCATTCAAACTCTGTCTTCTTGTCTGGACTGCAATTCAATGGATTGTTTCCAAAGTATATAATGTTTAACAGATTGTTATCTAAGAAACTCTTAAATAATCTCTCGTCGATGTATTGAAATTCATTGTCCTCTGAAAAAAGAGAGGTTTGTTATGAAAACATATTATTCACACAAACTATACCTAAAACAAGATAAACGATACGGTCTTTAATGTCAAAAACTCCAGTCTCTAAACGCCATTCACTCAAATGCGTTGACTTTAATATAATGAAGAGTTTGGGGCAAACCATTCAGTAATAAATAGGTCCATAAAGTACTATAAGTAATGGTTATTATGCGAGACAGCATATACAGATGCTCCACCAGATGGCATATACCGTTAATAATACCTTGCGCTAATCATACCTACTGTACTGTATTCACACAAACTATACCTAAAACAAGATAAACGATACGGTCTTTAATGTCAAAAACTCCAGTCTCTAAACGCCATTCACTCAAATGCGTTGACTTTAATATAATGAAGAGTTTGGGGCAAACCATCTCATAATCGCATCGTTGTATTTGAAAAGCGTTGGCAGAAATCAATTCAATGCCGTCGATGCCATTCAAATCAATAGTTTGTATATTTTTCACATTATAAAAAGCAAAGTCTCCGACTCTGGATATATTGAAGTGTCCGTTAAATGCGATATATTTGAGTTGAGGCGATGTATTGAATGCATAGTTTGGTATTTCGTGTGAGAAATTCCACTTTAAATTAATGTAAAGTGTATTGAGTGTAGAGATGGAGGAAAAGGCTTTATACAGATCGTAGTTGGAATCCGCAATATTCTGGAGTCGTGTCGGTTGTGAAGCCGAGTGTTTCCAAACCACTATACTATCGCCGGCCGGTCCGTCAAAAGCCTTCACATGAATTAACTCCAAGTTGGTTGACGTGAACTCAATGTTATACATACCAACGTTTTTGAAGGCATTCTCAGGTAATATACCCTTCTGTATGGGCGCCGACCACTCGAAGTTCTCAAAGAACCTGTTGTTCTGGTCTAAGGTTTTGTCTAAATTGTTAAACTCTTCGTCGATGTCCACTTCGTGTGTCTTTGAATGACAGTAAAGATTGTAATAATAAGTGTAATGACAATAATTCCAATTGAAATCCCAGATTGACTTCTGGTTCCAGCACTTGGTCTCCACAACTCGTGTATAATATTTGCTCTTCTGATCCAAAAGCCATTTGAATTTATATTTTGTTTTTGGTCTGCAATCCAATGGGTTATTGAAATACAGTATATTTGACGGATTGTTATCTAGGAATACACTAAATAACGTTTCGTCAATATATTGAAAATTATTATTATCTAAATATAAAAATTAAAACAAAGAGTCAATAAGTTGTATAAAAATTACTTGTAAAATAATAATACTTAAAATACATTACTTAAAATTAAATAAACGACACGTCCTTTGATGTCAAAAACGCCGGTTTCTAATGAGGACTCATTCAATTGAGTCGACTCTAAATTAATCAAAAGTTTGCCACAAATGAGCGGTTCATCGCATTCTTGTAAACGAAACGCTTTTGAATGAATCGATTGAATGAATTTCACACCAAAGAAGTGAATCCGCGATAAATTCTTCGCATAATAGAAGACATTATTTCCAATTCTCGATATAACAAACGGTCCGTTAAATGAAATGCTAGTCAATGATAACGAGTCGAGAGTATTGTCTCTTTTGAACGCATAATCGGGTATTTCATGAGCGCTATTGGCGTCCAAATTGATCGATATCTTCTGCAGTGTAGGTATTGATGAAAACGCTTTATACAAGTCATAGTCGCTGTCGGGAAAGTTTTGCAACTGAGTCGCTTTGTCACCCAAATGGTTCCACTCCACAATCTTCGTGTGTCCTTTTTGAGTGACAAAAGCTTTTGTGTGAATTCCCTGCAAATTAGTGGCACTAAACGACACGCTTTTAAAATGTAAACTTTTAAACACGTTTGCGGGCAAAACGCGCCCCTTTATCACCGCAGACCACTCGAGTCGATCAAACCCTTTATTAACTATCATATAATCGTTATCTAATAATTCAAATTCTTTGCCAATATTCAGTTCCAGTGAATCAGTGATACATTTGACGCTTTCTTGCAATTTATACGTACAGTTGTATGTAAACCAACCGACAGGAGTTGTGTTTTCTATCAAGTTAGTTTGTACTAAATTATAGTTGTCATTATTTAACACAGTAGCCAAGATTATTATAATGACATATTTTATAGCATCAAACATGTTAGCATGTGATAAATATTATTAACCAGCTAATTATCACTTTTGTAAAATCAATTGCATTTTTGTTAAATAATTTAATGTTTTTACTTTAAATTTTTAAATTATTTTAATCTATTTTATTAACATTTCGATAATAAATTTTAATTATAACACAAAATATATGTTGAATTGACAAATGTTTTACAAGATTCACTTTTATGGCACCTTTTTATATGAAAATTATGTGATATAATCGAGACTTTGATTTGATGGCAAATATTTGTCGCGAAAATTGTTTCATACATTTTTGCTTTCTTTTGTTATCAATGTATAAACAAATCAATACATATTTAATTAACACAACAAATATTAAACACACTTCACATGCTTAATAAAATTGGTTATTATGTTATATTAGTTTTTCCTTAATGTTTACAAATCATTTTAATACTGAAATATTTCATTACAAAAAGTATCACAAATTAATCATAAGGTTTCCAAATTCTTATTGCAGTCAATGTATATCTTATCTAAATTGCAATTTAATTTAATAAAAATATTACATAATAAATGAAAGGGCTTTTAGTATATACCCAGTAAGGTACTGTACTTTATATTAATGTAATAATAGCTTTATATATAAAGTTTATTCCCAGGACAGTTTATATTAATTATTAGTAGTGCTATTTACAATTATTAAGATTTTTATATACAGTAGTATTAATAGTCTCTTTACATCTGTCACTATAAGTAATTCAAAATTTTGTTTTCAATGATTAAATTCAAAATTAAATTTAAAATATTTTGTTTATTATAAAAACAATAGAATTTCATACATTTATTAAATAAAAAATGTGGTTTTGATGACATGAATAATAATAAGACGTTAACGTAATAAACATTAAGCAGTTTTATTAAAAGCCAATAGTCTATTGGCAATAGACTTCTGTAATTAACAATATTTAAAGTAAATACTGATCGCTTTAAGATTCTAGTTTTAGATCTCTATCTAATGAATGAGTGATGCATACAATGGAGATAAGTGTGAACTTAATTACAGTAATTGATAGATCATTAGGTATTGATGTGCTGTTTATCTATTTTTTTTTGGTAATCCATCTCCGGTTTCAATAATTACTTAAACAGACCATTGATTATACTTATACAAAGTGTTTATAATGTATTGAAAATTTATTGATCGCCTAATGTTGTGCTTTACATGATAACAGAATTAAACCTAAATGTGCTATCGATGTCATGATTAATGCAGATGTATTGCTAATTGATATATCATGATGAATATTCCCTAAAATTGAAATAGATCTTTCATTTAATATTATATAACATAAATATATATTTATTTATACACATACTTGCGATCCATTCATAACTATGAAAACATAGGATAATACGACTGGAGTTGCACTCAAACGATGCATATATGCCAAGAATAAAGTCCAAGTAATGCCTGAATTTAATAATAATAATGAAAACCCAAACACTTGTCGCTTGTTTGCAGGTGTCTTAAGTTTAAAAACTTGATGGATTAGGTATCCAATGATAATAAGATTTGCTGCCACGACAGTCACCACTGGACCTGTTTTTATTCATATACAGAAGTTGTTATCAATTAATTTTATTTAAAAATGTTTTTCATTAAAATACCAATTAAAATATAAATATTTTTTGGATGCTTTGGCGATGATATCCAGCAACTAATTAGTAAACAGTGTTTTATTAAATTGTTTTGTTTAAAAAATAATAAGTTAAATATATCTCACAAAAAATCGTTGCCAATAAGCGCTTCGCCAAATGCCTGCTCTTCTGTCCACACATTTAATAATCCAATTATTATAATAAGAAACGGTAATCCATAGGCAAAGACGGCAAACAAGTATACCTTCACGCCCTCGTCAAACACATTATATGTCATACGAAACAAATGAAACGCTTGTAAAAGCATCCAAAGAAATGTTGCCAATAATGTGTACAACAGTAAGAATGAGAGAAATTTACAGACGGCCTAAATATCAACAAAATATATTTAGTTTATATAAAGTTTGCGAAATAAAGCCTCAAAAAATAAATAAGTCATTGATTTTACCTCGACTTCTGTTCTGTCCATTCCTATCATAATAAGTAGGTTTGAGACCAATAGACAAGCGCTAAGATTCAACACAATTATATCGCGTCTCTTCAGCAACTGTTTGGTCATCTCATTGTAATTCTTTCTCTTCGTTGTCTTTGTTTTATTCAATTTGTTTTGCAATAAAATTAATAAATCCTTTCTCGCAATCAATACGATTGTAACGATGAGACAGAGGACAGAGAGGGCGCAAAACACTAGAGTGACCGCATTCTTGGCCGCGCCGTTAACCTCTCTGCCACTCGTGTCCATAAGTGCCGCAAAGTTTGTCAAATGCTTGCACTCGCAGACAGTTGTCTCGCGGTTAGAGTCGACGGCAATTAGTTTACAGCCCTCTGAAGACCATTTGTTTTTCTCGAAATCCCAATAAACACACTCTATATCGTCGCCCAAATCCATTCGTGTCGTGTGTTTTAAACTATAGATTTACAGAGAATTTTAAAAAATTATTTAAATAACGTAAATAATTGCATGTATAACACATTGAATGTTTAGCCCATACCTGACCCTAACATTCTTGCCGTCATTCAATTGATGAGTTCCGTTGGCGTTATTAATACTGAAAGCAATGATCTCTGTATTGATGGTCTGAGTGTCGACCAAATCAGTGCTCAAGTGTTTTTCCAAACCCTGTATAAGAGCGCCAAAGTCTGTGTTACTTTGACACGACTTGCTATAGTTTGCGTCCTTAAACACAACGCCGTCGGGTATTAGTATTGACGACGAGTTGTACTCAAAGAGTATTTTATCGTTGGTTTTGTTATAATAGTGCTTTTGTATTAAATTTTTGCTCAAAAACTCTTTTGTGTCATTCAATGGACTTAAATAGCAATTGGATGAGAAGGCCGTGTATTGTATGTAACGTAACATTTGAGAGGCTGTCGTGAGCCGATCGGTGGCCACGCCGTCACTCCAGGCTCTCGACTGGTCTATTACTTGACTGAATGTATGGACAAAATTGTCCGACACGTTAACGGCGACCGTCGGGACAATACCAGAAACAGTTTGTTGCATAAAGTCTTGCATATTGATCACAACTGACATCACTTTTCCTAAACTATCCATCGATTTCAAGCTCTCATTGCCTTTGGTGTTGTCTACAATTGTTTGGAGGGAGTGTTGGACCTCATCGATGGACTCGAATGTCTTATTAACCAGATCTTCGAGCCAACAGAGCTCTGTCTCATCAAACTTACCGCTTTCCAGACACTTCCACTCAATATATTTGTCACTATTTGGACATTTGATGCGAACGGACTGACCCGCCGGCACTTGTGGCCATTTTTGCATCCCATACTGACCATCATATTCGTGATTCTTATTGCACAAAACAGTTGTATCGTTTGTTTTGTCTAATGTTTTGACAATCATATTATTACTTAAATTGTTTGAAATCTACAAAATATTCTGTACCTGTGGTCCAATCAAATTGCCAAATGGACTGACCGTTGGCACAGTTGGCAAAAACTCTGTGTTCGTAAATAGCACTTTGATTTAATAGCCAATCATATTTATCCTTGTATTGTTTGCCACACAATAAATTATTATTCATAAGTGATAATTGATTGTTGTATTGATATATATTAATATTTAAAAACTTTTCAAATTTAGTTTTACTAATAAACTCAAAATAATTGAAGTCTATAAAGGGTTAGAAAATAATTGTGAATAATTGTGTAAAAATATCAAAACAATTCAAATAATTACCTAAATTTAATGAAACACGTTGATATGTTTGTAATGCAAAGGCATAATCATCGATGTTTTTATCAGATAATTGACAACTGTTTAAATTAATTTTAACTGGATGATATCCATTTATATTAAAGGCATTTCCAGATATATAACGAATAGCCTTAACATTGAAACTAATTTCTTGTATCGGTCGGATGCTAGAAAAGGCGTTGGAGTTTATGTTGGATATATTGAACTGACCGTTGAATCTAAGCTTAACTAAATTATTCGCAAAACTAAACGCGTTGCTCGGGATCTCGTGCTCGTAATCCCAATCCAGGTTAATTTGCAATGTTGTCAAACTGACAATATTCTCAAACGCCCTATATAGATTATTGATATAATCGCCGGGCGTGTGTCTTAACTTGTTGGACGTTAAGCCCAACATTTCAAACGTTTCAATCGCGTGACTCGACCCGAAGGCGTTGGCATTGATCTTGCTCAAATTTGGCGCATCTAACACTATTTTCTTGAAACGAAATGGATTGATATGATTGCCGAACACATATTCGGGTATTGTTCCACCTGCCACATTGGCAGACCACGTGAACTTGCTAATAAATCGGAATGGTGTTTTTGTGGATAATGTCTCAAATACTTCCTTCATATTGAGATCGTTTGTATCGGACAAACATTTGAACAATTTTGAGGATTGGTCCCATTCGCACCAATCATATGAACTAGATGATTTACTGGCACTTATTTTGGCCAAACTATTGTTTGCATTTAAATTGAAACTTGTGGTAACATTTCCAAATATTAGCATCCAAAATAAAAGTTCCCATATACAAATATTACGGATTCTTAACATGGTAAATATTTTATTATTTAATTTATTTAAAGTTTCAATGCATATAAGTAATGATGTACTTAAAAGACAAAAGTGATAGAAAGTATAATGCACCACAAGTTATACAAGAAAGTTATAATTATAAAAATTACTAACAATTTACTGAAAATAGCTATAAATCAGTCATTTTCTGACGATTTATGTTATCAACGCATTTGTGTTACAATTTTATTACGAAAAGATTGTTATTTAATAAACTATTGAATGCAAACAAAAGTGCGAAAATGACATTTCAAATCAGATATTAAAAACTGTTTTATTCACACAATTCTTTGTCAAGACTACTATTTTGACGTTTTGTTTCACTACGAAAACAATTTCTTAATTAATTTATAATTATTTTACAACACATTATAAAAGTGTTATTTGGTTTGGAAAAAACAAATCATTTTCTTGTAAATCACAATAAAAAAGATAAAAACACTTTTAAATTAACGAATAATACTAATCAACCCTTTGTTGATCACTTCAGTATTGTTTAATTCAATATTCAATTGTTACGAGTTTTATAATAATAAAAATCATTAAATTCCAGTTTAAACTAAATACTAGAAAATTTCTATATCTGTAGATTAGTATTACATTTTAGGTATTTTCCGGTCGTATCTAATCATAAAAGTAATTTTATTTCTCATTCGTTATTAAAATTTTCTTAAACTCTATGGCAATACGGCTTAACATTGTAAAGCTTTATACATTGTAGTCCTATGGAGCAATATGTGCCATAGTTATTCATATTGTATTTAGTGGAATCTCATACTAAAACCTGGTTTATATAGAATTTAGATAAATTTACTTTATTTATTAGACTTAAAAAATGATATTTTTCCAAACCTTTTCTCATTATACATATATTTTTGCCAATTTGTTATATCAGTGATACACTGGAGATAAGTGTAGCCATGAAGTTATTGTTAATGATTTTACTGATAAAAAGTAAATTTCACACGATTTTAACACAACATTAATACTAAAAACAAATTCCAGTATAATTTAGTTTAATTATAATTCCTATGAATTCAGTCATTACTTATGATATGCAGTTAATTAGAGAGCTAAACAAACAACAGATTGGAGTGATATTCAGTTAAATATAACAACAATTGGAGAGAGAGAGAGAGAGAGAGAGAGAGAGAGAGAGAGAGAGANGAGAGAGAGAGAGAGAGAGAGAGAGAGAGAGAGAGAGAGAGAGAGAGAGAGAGAGAGAATTTCAATGAAAACACTTTATTTAAATCATTATTATATATATTTTTGTACAATAAATTGATTGAATTGTGTATTTAATATTCAAATTATAAACAAATGAAATGAATAACAATTTAATAATTATGTAATAATGTATTTTCAGTTAAAATTAAATAATAATAAATAAATTCAAAAAAAGGAAATTTACAGATGAAACGAAATAAATATATTTTACAGCAAATTATTTAATTATATTTTGATTATCGTTAAAAATTAGTTAAAAGAAAACACGATTAATATATTGGAAGTCAATAAACAATTGAATTTTATATTATTAAATGAAATAAACATTTGTTTAGAGCTATTCTGATAGCTATTATAAATCCATACCGAATATTAATATAATTAATAACTTTTTAACGCTTTAAATGTAATTATTTTGTTTAAATATTTTATTTCTGATGAGAAAAACTATCAAAATATACTTCAAATGTATAGAAATGAGCGAACGTTTGATGAAATCTCTATTACAACAAATCCTAATCTCAACAATGGATTTGATTTGTTTATTTAATTTAACCATAAAATCGACGTAAAACTCAACTTATATTTCATTGTAATTGTTTTCAATTTTTCTCTAAACAAACGATAATTATTTTTTGTTCGCAAAAATGTCTTTTAAATATTTAAATACATTTACAAGACTTTGATTCTTATGTAGTATTTTCAAGACCTCATAGAATGTGATGTGTTTTCTCGGGAATCAAATAAATATTGATATCATATTTAAATTTAAAATCAAATAAAATTGTGTAGATTTTTACAATTAAATAAATATAATTATTACATTGTCTCTAACAGATAATAAATGGAAATTAATAGTAATAAATGCTATTTTAAATCCCGGCGATTGGATTGTGTCCATCCTTTCAGTCAAATCCAGACATAAGATTAATGAATCCATTGAATCATTTGAGGCACAGATTATTTACTTATGAAAAGTTTTTTATATTAATTATTTTGTTGACAACTTTTCTTAATTACTCTTTTTTGTAAGTTATTATCTAAACAATAGTTTCTAATAATGAAAACTTTATATAAAATCAATTATTAGTGATGTGTAAGTGCTTTACAACTGTTCATCTGTTGTTATAATTACAAAATGGATATTCAGTATAGATTGTGATCGACTTTAAGCACAATATTCAATAAATACCGGTATATTTCTAAACTTTTAAGTATTTTCTATGAAAAATGTATTAAGTCATAGATTGTGCAAATAATGAGAATAAAATTTCACAAAAAACAAGTAAACCCTTTGTTTGTGCGCATAGTTTTAATAAGTGTTTTGAAATAACAATTTTCAATCGAAACTCAAATCCAAAAAACTTGTCAAAAAATTTGATAAAACAAAACATAAAACCAAAAGAGTGTGTTTAGACGATAGTGCCGTTGAAACTACTATCAGTCTTATCGTCATTAATATGTATTTTGACGCCACTGTCTTCGAGACCCACGAGAAGACACTCGAGACCAGCGGTGGTCGTCGGCTGCGTAACGCCGGGAAGCGAACAATGACTGCCGTCGCTGTCATTGGCTTCGGGACTCTCGGGTGAGCCGATCAAAGGCGTGGCCACAGTATCGATGACCACATCTATGGTCGGATGCTCTCTATTATTGACGTTTGATTGAGAACTTCGCGATCGTTTGACACGACATGAGGGAGACTTAGAGCGCATTGAGTTTCCTCGCGTCAGAAATATCTTCTTACTATTGATAGGACTCGGCTTTATTATGAAGCTATTCATTGACAAAACAAATTCAATCAATTGATTTCAATATTAGATATCAAGAGTGATAAACAGTGTCTCACATAATGTCTCCCTCTTCTAGTTTGAGATCACAGTTTGGATTAATAATAACATACGAAAGACTACTTCGCTTTTCAGAGCAATTATCTGTTAATTAATTTCCAATTAAAACTTTCAGTAAAATGAGACATCAATTCACTGTCAATACCGTAGTCTTCCTGAGGTATACCCATGTCTGTGAGTCGATTGCGGACCAGATTCGTGATCTCTTGGCGCTCGACTTCGACACTGATTTGTTGAAAATTCATTTGTTCGCTCACAGGAAACACAAAATCGTACGCTATTTGGACCCCCTTTATAGTGAACAACAATCACAATGTAATTAACAACTATGAAGTAAATTACAATAAATACAGTAAATGTAGTAAATGTCTTAAATGGTTTGATCTCTTACGGGAAACAGTTCCGGATTTTGTGTGCTTTGAGTTCTATATATACCGATAGGTATTTCGCAAGTCGTGGAGCACAACCTCTGATAGAGTCGGCCGTAAGTGCGGATCCAGAGGTCGTCTTTTGTGATCCGCATGGAGGACAAGAAGCCAGAGCCGGGCGCCTGATCTATGCCTAACAATAGCCGAACCACTGTAATCATGTAGTCTTTGACAAACGCCTGGTATAGCAATGTGTCCAACATTGAGGCACTGAAGACACTCCCGGCAGCGAATGGAAGCCTAAACATGTATGATATATGAGATCCGCGTTCCCTTTCCATCTGTCATCAAACAAAGTGAGCAAAATGTTAATTATATAATGTTTATTAAGTTAATTGTAAGGTTAAAGCGTTTGATTGCAAAGTAAACAGATATGTATAAAATAATGTTCAGATAATGAATACCTTTTCCATTTTGGATAGAGAGAGCGCATAGGCGTCATGAGCTCTAAACTGCATGAATCGCATATTACTTGATTGACTCAATTCTGTGATCATACGCGCCGACGGAAACATCTTAAACATGGTCTGTACGGCAACTATTGTATTACAATCGGCCAAATAGTCTTCTTCGGCTGAATTGGTCGACTCCTTGTTCACCACTACCACAGAATCGGCCAAATTTATGCCCGCCCTTATCAGGTCATCCAAACTGTAACCACACGTTATTTAAATTTGCATTAGTTAAATTAATATTTTCCACATTATTATATTTATTTGGCATAAGTTTATTTAATACTATAACATGTAAAATCTTGTAAATGTTTTATATAGAATTTCTTTGATTAATATTCCGTATATTTAGTATCGGTTTAACCAAAGGATACAAATGAATAAACAGTAACTGTAGTTATATATAACTGTAGTTTAAAATAAAATCCCATATAACTTATTGTTTTCGTAATATTGTAATTAAATGCAATTAAAGTGCCGATACAATGGTTTTTCGATATTTCAAATTGTTTGTGAAATTGTTTTATAACTCACCAATTGTTAAGATTGAAGAAAACAATCAAATATATTGAGACAATTAGAAAATTCAAATGAATTCATCTATTGTTTCATTGCTATCGACAACTAATCACTAAAGAATGCAAATCCTTATTATAATTATTGCAAATACTGTTAAAGAAAAAGCGAATTCCTGAAAAAATTCATTAAATACCATTGAAATCACGTAAATGTGTGTCTTTTTATTGACTTAAATTGATTTATTATTCAAATGAATGGTTCAATGATTCAAAAACAGCGAAAAGAAATGAAACAAATGAGAAAATGTCATCAAATGAATGAGC